GCTCACCAGGGGAGGGTGTAGCCCCGGGGGGGGGTCCGAGGTGGGGCCAAAACTGCATTTTTGCAGTTAGGCCCATGGGGTGCAGGCGTCCGCTGCGCACCCCCCTGTATTTTTATTTTTATTTTGATTTATTTTTATTTTTTATTTTTTTTTGGCCCCTCCCTGGCCGAGGTCAGGGGACCACCGCACCGGACCCCCGGGGCCGGGGCTGTGACAACCCTGGCTATGGCTGCCGCTGGTGGAGCCGTTGACCCGTGTTGGCTCCTCCCTTCTCTTTCGCCGAAGCGCCAGGTGCAGCTGCTTGCTGCTGCGTTAATTTTAGTGCACGAGACCAGTAGCCTCCCAGTCATCGACTGTCCTTCTGCAACCGCCTCCCAGCTTTTCGTTTGACTGGAGGCCGCCGGACTCGCTTCCATTGGGCCTGGGCCTTCACCTGGCCTTCGCTTAGGGCCAGGTCAATTTGCACAGGCAGCCCCTGCTGGGCACCACCAGAGGCTGATGCCTCACACATGCATAGGCTCCTGGGTCCACATGAGAGACAGTGAGGGTGTGAGACCTTTCTTGACTGCAGCAGCCTCCACTGAACTTGAAACTAACAGAAAACACGTATTTAAACAGTGGTCACCGATCAGACAACTTACCAACTGAAACTATGTACAAGCAATGAGAAACAGTTTTCTGTTCCCGCAAGAAGAGGCTTCATATCAAACTTTGGGTTCTTCAGCAAGCAGCGATCCACTGCAGAAGTGAGAATCATCATCACCTGCGCTCAGAAAAGAGCAATAAGCACACTAGCGGTTAATGAAAGGCAAATAAATTGGGTTTTTTTGCCGCGTCACTACAAAAAATGTTGTCGAAACTTTTGGGAACAAACCATGCAGGGTCATAATACAAACAACAAAAAAACAAACAGGGAAAAAAAAAACAAGAAAAACAAACTCAAGAGCACTATAAAACCCTATTCAGTCCTTCGGGACATCCGTTAAAACTGGATCGCTACAGAGAAGATTAGCATGGCCCCTGCGCAAGGATGACATAGGAGAAAAAAAAAAAAAAAAACCTATTCAGAGTAGCTTTCGGAGTTCACCAAATCTTTCTTCGAGTCTGGTGTTTTTGCTAAGTTTTTCGTTACTGGTCCAAATGCGGTGAAATTGAATACAGATATACCCTAAAGCACATACGTATCAAGCAAAAAGAAAAACCCAGAAAAAGTAAAAATTCAGGAAAATATGGCAGTTTCGGCGAAAATTTTGCCAAAATTCGCCAAAATTTGGGCCTTCCATTAACCGCTTCTCAATAAGCAATAAAATACATTCATCAGTCCGGTATTCAAGTGAGAAGACGTTCATGAAATTCAAGACCGGCAGTGTTCGGAAAGTGACGACGATCAAGAGCAGACCAAATATGATGCAGACCCATCTGTCACACCCATGACAGCCATGGCCAGGACCTATCCATTAACCATAACAGGCGCCGCAACCTCCGTCTCGGTTCCGCTCTCCATCCCTTCCGAGCATTTATTCTATACCACAGCATTTGCGGAGAGAGAGAGAGAGAGAGAGAGAGAGAGAGAGAGAGAGAGAGAGAGGGAGAGAGAGAATGGGCCTTGCTGCACTATTCTCCACCTGCACAAAAGACAAAAAATATGGCGGTGTATCTTTCCACGTTCTAGCGGAAGATTTATTCTCATTTCTTACTTGGAGAGTCGTGCAGGGAGGTCCAATAATCACTACAAAGCAGGGAGGTCCAATAATCACTACCAACAACGGAAGGAATGCAAAGAAGATATCCGTCGGACATTTGTTAAAATTGCAATGATACAGAAAAGATTAGCATGGCCGTTGCACACGGATGACATGCATAAATAAAGAAATGGTCCAAATTATAAATAATAATAATAACAATAAAAAGGAATGCATGGAGCTGCGTAGCATGGCGAACGTGTTCGCGCCCCTCCACGTTTGCGCGAACGTGTTCGCACGTTCTCGCGAACATAATTTTCTTTTCGCAAAACAAGAAAATTTTTTTTCCGCATGGCTGTGCCGGCAACCAGCCGGTTGGACCGGCCCGGATCCAACCGGGCTGGTTGGACCCCCGGTGGTCCAACCGGAATTCCGGTTGGGTCCAAAAGCGGGTCAATTTTTTTTATTTTTATTTTTTGAAAACATGGTTGGACTGCGCTCACCGAGATCTCCCCGAATCCGCAAAGAAAACTTTGAACAGAGAAGTTTCGTTTGGGGGGTTGGGGGGT